CATTATTTACATTGTGTATCTTGATTATAAAATTCATATCCTCAGGAGTCAGCTGATCTTCTTCCACCGCCACCCTTTGCGTAACATTGCATTCCAAAACATCTGTGGGGATGGGTATACCCATTTTTCACTCTTATCTCCAGCCTTTGGAATGCCGGACACTTGTCTGTCTGTGGAAAGCAAGAATGGTTGATCTGGAGCTGGTCGCTGATTTGGTGGTGGCATCTGGAATTGATAAAAATATTAGTGCGACAGTTGTTTTGTTAGTTCATTAATTTGTTACGTTCAGGTTTTACTATAGCTAAGTTAGTTTTTATGATACATTCAAGATATAGTCCTTTCATACAACTTATTTACGATATGAAAGAACTACATGGAATTGAAAAATACATATGAATAAATAATTTTGAGCTTATTAACAAATGGGTAGGTAGGGTTACCGGAAACACAGACATTTCTTTCATTTGGCTTAAGAATAGAATAATGGCATACTAACCAGATTGTCTGGGTCAAGTTCATCATCACCTTTCCCAGCATGCATTGGACATCCACTGGGTGGCTTTTTAGCACCTTCTGACTGACTCATTGGGCAATCACTTGTGTACATGTCATCTAACTTAATACTCTTAGCAGCTTCTTTTAGTCTATTTGGATCTCTTTTCAAGATCGGCTCCGGTTCTGATGGTTTATTCATTTCAACTGGTTGTTCTGGCACCACAGGTGCTGCTTGCTGAGATGAGCCGGATGCTCCCATGGCTGATAATCATGAATATATTTCCCTTTGTGGAATGAAAAAAAGGAGAATTATGATAATTATGATGGATAATTGATCTAGTATTATCTAATCAGGCTGCTTTACCAAATGTAGTTGCAACTCCAACTGATAACCCATCATGTCAGATACAGCTTATAAGATAGTTGTGGCTTAATTTTGGTTTAGTGAACTTCAATCAGTCTATCTATGCCAAGACAGTTTGTGTGATTTGACAGAATATCCAAATATAAGGTACAGTATATTTGTTGAAAGAGAATGTGCTGGTTGAAATAAGACAAATGTACAGCTCAACTTAGTGTTAACATTGTTCAGAGTACAACTACACCCTGGGGAAGCGCACAGTGGTACCAGGTGGTGCTTATAAAAGATGAACTCTTTCAAGTGATAGATTTGTGTGCATACATATACACGCATTCAGTTCTACAATTTTTGTTTTATGATTTATTCGGTATAATAAAACAAAAGTTCACCCCAATAGCGATGATAAGGTTATAGTAATAATGAGCTCTTCAGGTCACTAAAATTGTATGTCCTCCACTGTTGAGGCAAACATTTGTATGATGTCATAAACTTGTCTAAATTAACAATAATCTTTAATATTATACATCTCTCAGCATAACACCATAAGTTACAGCATGCTGTAATTTTGCTGTATTTTATGGGATAATTTCATCCTACCATATTAGGAACGTTCTCTAATTATAAAAACAAACATGGATGCCATCAGAGTTTGACCGGACTCCACACAAAGAAGTTCGCTTATTCTGTTCTAAACTTTTTAGATTCCGGCATTCCCATGATGTATCCTTGGTAGGAAAAGATGTATAATAATAAGGTTATTAGCAAGATACCTCAAAGTATGCACTCAGACAGTACGCTGTCGCATCGACCTCCGCTGCGCGTCGGTCGATACTCCCGCTGTACTGTCTTCGTCCATACTTTGAGGTATTCTCGTAATAACCTCATAATAAACCATAATGAAAAAATTTCAACTTGGGCACAAAAGTAATAGAGAAATACTTCAAACGAAAATGAGAACCAAACTAAATTAAAAAAAAAGTAAGTGAGAGTTTAAGAAATGTCTGAGTTTCATTCTTTCTTCTCTATAAATAATACAAGAAGTTAGAAAGTTGATTTAATCAACAATCACCGTTGGGTCAAGAGATTCCCATAATCACTAGCATTTTACAAGTCAAACTTCAGGAAAACTGAAAGTACCTGCAGAGTATACATTTGGGTAGTCCAGAGAAACGGGAAATAATAACCCGTGTAATATAAATGTTGCTCAAGCGACCAAAGCAAGGATCTGTACCCTTTATAACGTACTGCCACTGTTACATTCATATGCACATACCGTTTATGTTTTAATCGGATCGCAGTGACACTGCTTCATTTTTAATTTTGAAGTACATGTGAAATTAAATATTCTATTCTTTTTTAGTCCATTCTCTGTCAAATACTAACTATACAAGATGTACAATTATAAAGATTACCTTACTTTGCTTCTTTCTCAAACATAATAATAACCACTGCAGACAGCATGTTAGTTGGCACATGCGCAATCGAGAACAAACAGACAAGTCCATTTCAGTAGAGGAGGCTCAAATAGTCATACAATTAGTAGCATTCATGCAAATATTAAAATAAAACAAAAATAAAGCTCATTTTTAAATTTAACTATGACTAAATATAGACTTATGAATTATTTTGTTCATAAGACAATTCTTAACTGGCTTATACGTTTTTAACTTGTATAATTTTTTTTCATTTCACCCACTTTTTTATTCGGCTTTTCCTGCTTCCCATAATCCTTTTGTCAAAATGGCAGCCTCCATAGTCTTTTAGCGTCGACTTGTTTGTTGGAATTTTAGCATTGGTATACGAGATACATGAGGGATTTCTGGCTTCTTTGACATTGCTGCTCTTTGTACACTCGACGACTGTTCAAGCAGGGTAAGTGGTGGTTACACATACCAGCTTGTTTTGTTCTGTAATGGTTGTTACATTTTTTTCAAACCTTGACTCAAATTAGTTCCTTCAATGGTAAAAACAGCGGTCTACCGTCTATAGATGTATAACTATGCTTACACCACATGAACTTTAATGTCATATTGAGCAGTGTTGCATTCGACGTAATTGACCTTACTTGATCTAATCTTCCGGGAATGTGACACTAACCTTAGACGACCTCACTGTTAATTGTGCAACTGAACCTCAGAACAGAATAGAACATGGGAGTTGAGGAGGTAAAATCTCTCCATTACCCCCATCAATAGAATAATGCTTTATTGATACCGTAAAGAAAGATTTAACATTTCTTTTTAGGTTTTCAGATTAATAAAGTAAATAATAAAAGTACATGAAATGTAAAAAATGATTTAAAAAAGAACTCAAAATTGATGAACGACAAAAATACTACAGACAATTATTAATAATATAAGAAATATTAAAATACCGTGATATGTAAGTATATCTGTATGCAGCACAGAATATGTATAAAATATAAAAGAACATGACAAAATAAAAGAATTAGTTTTGTTTATATTTAACTAAATATTTGCAGAGAGTGATAAGATGATTTGTATTTGGTGACTGTAGTACAAGATTAAATTGTTCGTTTTTGTTTAAGTTTTGGTAATCACTGTTAATTTCTTTAGGAATATTATATATATTAGTATAATATTATATTATATTAATATTAGTAGTCTGAGACTGAACTTAATAAGTCATAGTCCCTGGAGGACTAAGTCAACTCAATTTTCATAGCATGTCAATTGTAATGGGGAAGGAGACAATTATTGTAAACATCCTTTATACGTGTAACGTGCTGCAAGCTATATTGGGATAGGCAATATAAGTTTTATTTTTATTACTTGAGTACAGCCGTGACAGTCAACTAAGAATTGACGGGACATTAAGATGTTCAAAAACCTTAATATACTCTGCTCTGAACTAAATATTGTTAGGCTACAAATAGTTATTTTTTTTTTTATACATTTTGGTGCCGAGTTCATTTTTTTTAGCTTGGGAATATTTCCTTGTAACATCTCTACCTACCCGAGAAAATAATTAAAGAAGAAACACTATGAAAGAAATAAGGGATTCTGGCATTGTGTGAAACGCTGCATATACTATTGTATTTGTGGAACATAAGGGGGGTGTAGTTAGAACTACATGTATGCTTCCATTCAATTCTTAAAGTCACATGTTTGTAATTTGTATTTACTCTTCAGGCACGAGATGAGTTTCAAGATGGCTTTACTTATGATTAATCAGCTTCCACTCTCAAAACAAACACTTGGCACCTAATTCCAGATCAGAGGGGATGTAATAAAATCTACAATTTAAAAAAATATTCTGTATAAATAAGATTTGATAAATACATTTTATTTATTTTCTTTAGACTTCTCAGTATGGGTTGGGAACCAGCAGACACATGGAAAGAATGGTTGGAGAAGAACATTATAATATGGGCTGCCAAAGATCCAGGAGGGTTCATCTATACAGTCCTGCTTTGTCTCACACCATTTTTTATCCTGAGTGGCATACTGGCATACTTCCTGGCAAAAGATATTGAGAAGAAAGAAAAGGACAAGAAAAGGAAAGCAAAAAGGGAAGCAAATATAAGGAAAGCACGAGGAAAACCAGAAAAAGAAAAAAAAGATAACTGACTGCTGTTCTTTGATTGACAGAGATGTTTGTTTGCAGTGGCCTCTCCCAAGGTTAACTTTTTAACTGAAGACTATTTTGTATGATTTATTAATATTTAGAATTCTGATTAAAAAAAAAAAGTAAAAAAGAATTAAAGGGTAACTTTAAGACAAC